TTTTGGATATGGTGTGCGGCGCTGCCTCATCGATGTATGGTTGCTCTACGAACCGGCCGGCATCCCTTTTCGGCAGAAGTTTTGGGGCGCCTGGTATCTTATCTACCCTTTCTTGATGTTCTTTCATCTGCACACGGAGCACCTTGTTCTCGTTCTCCATCTCTTCCATTTTTCTCAATATGGACGTGAGGGCATCATTGCCTGCACCATTAATATTGTCAATAATACCTGTTAGGGCGGGAGCGCGTTGTTCGTTGGGAGTTGACGTAACGCGAGCTTCTTCGCCCTCTCTATTCGTCCTTTGAGCTGGCTTGTCGAGAATGTTGGTTAGCATACTTGTCAGCCATGCCTCGAGCAGTCTCTTCACTGCGGGTGGTGCCTCCTCCGTTGTGGACGTAGAGGCTCCCCTATCGTGTGAAGTCGTAGTGCTTCTAGGGGGAGGGGGCGAGCTACTTCGCCGAGGAGATGTGTTTGGTGTCATGTCCTCGTTTTCCGTTTCGTTGATGGTGTGAAGGAGGTTGGTAGTGATGTCAGCTACTGCTTTCCTATTTTCCTCTCCGTTGCATGTCATGTCAGATTTGTGCAAACAAGGAAATACGAGATTTTGCAAAGTTTTGTGTGCTTTCTTCTCAGATCTAGGTGAAACTAAAATCTTAATTAGAAAATTCCCACAGACGGCGCCAAATTGTTTGACCAAAAAGTGTGAAAACCCTTTTTGCTAAACTAACTAAATAAGTGATAACAGGTAAATTCTAGTTAAACATAATAAATCCTAGATCCAAAGATGAGTAGCTGTAACCTAAGAACCGCCTTTAAAGCTATTAAATGCTAAAGGGGTGTTTGATAATATTGTTATGAGTGAATGAGGGGAAGAGGATAAAATAATAAATATGACAAATGGCAATAAATGTAAATAGAGAGAATGATTCACCCAAATATTCAATGAAGCGGACGATTCTCTCTCTGATAGGGATATAAAATGACCAAACGTGGGAATATCAAACACTTTATCGGATCTGATGTGGGAAAGTTTGGAATCAACAGCAAATCCAATCTTGTCAAAAGATAATGTTTATGATTGCCTCAGAGTCAACTTTGAGAACTTATCAAATGGAATATTGCATATCTCTTTCTCTTTCTCTCTATTCTTATTTATATGGGATATCCCTTACCTACTGAAAGTACAAGTGCAGAGAATATTCTATAGAATATTCCTCTAAAACATCCTATTACTAAACTAGTTGTTTCTGGCCAATCTGAGTGCTCGACTCCGACCTCAGCTGCTCGGCTCGTTAGCGTTGCTTCAGAAGCATGACCTCGGCCTAATCGACTCTTAAGCATGGCCTATTCTGCTTGTCCCCGACCTCGTCCTTAACGAACTCTCCAAAGGTTCGCCTTGGTCGTACTCGGCCGAGCCGCCCATGGTAAGTTACGGCCTCCACGATAGTCTTTTCGTACTGAACTTCCTAGATCGGATTTTGGCCCATACAGGAATCAGTGCCTATTGCTATAAAAAATATGAGGCCAATTTGATATCTAAGTATGTTTCGCGTTGTTTATTATTGTATTATTCTTAAGTTTATATGGTATAGTCTTGTAAAATGTTGTAACACTATTGTACCATGAAAAACTACAATTTCTGTAATCACGGATTTGGTATTTTTTTGCGTGGTTATTTCGTAAAAATATTATTAAACCATAACAAATGATACAGTCTATCCAAATATTTTATTCGTTAATACAGTATAATACAATACGATACTTCAAATCTTGAATTACATATTGTATCTTTTGAGTTTTCATCATTATCAAGAAAAGAACATATCTTAAAAAAAGATTTCTATTACTCCAATATTCTCCAAATAGAGAAATGATATCTTTTGGAGAAGAAAGAGATCACTATATCTTTAACCTTGTAGATGTCAAAGTTACCATTTTTAGCTTTTTTTCTCCTTCCCCTTCTACACAAAATTCAAAAATAGCCAAATTTACGAGTGGTGTTTCAAAAATAGCTTCAATTTCAAAAGTTTTCGAAATTTAGCACTTTTCATATAAAGATAAATCTGAACGAAAACACTGTTCAAAATCCGGAAAATACTCCAGCATAATATACTGGAATTCCAGTATAATATTATACTGGAGTTCCAACATAATGTACCGGAGTTCCAGTATGATATACTGGTCCAGCATAATATGGTGGAAGTTCATACACAGGTGCTCCAATCTCCAGTATATTATGCTGGAACTTTCCGCGTGGTGGAGCTCTAGCATAATATGCTGGAAGTTCATACATAGGTGCACCGATCTCTAGTATATTATGCTGGAATTTTCCTTGTTGCAGCAAAATAGTGACTATTTTTCAATGACTTTGCAAACGCCGGCTATTTTTGAATGACCAGTTCGAAAACTGGCTAACCCGTGCTATTTTTACCTTTTGTAATAAAGAGCCACATCGAAAAGACATCGCTTTCAGGTAAAAAGTACCCAATAAAGAAATTAATTCTAAGTACCCTACAACCTAACGTTTTTGAAATTTCTTCTGTAAATCACCCCCATCACCCCCATCTGATGAGAAAAATAGAAAGAGAAAAGGAAAAGGACACCTATTTAAAAGGTAGCCAGCTACCTGCCTTAATATAGCTTTCTTGCTTTGGTATTTAACATAGTTACCCTCAATGAAACATGACAAGTGTGTAAAAAATATTTAAAGGGCTAGTTTAATTCTTTACCCATCTTCTTTTTTTTTTTTTAAAAGAAAAAAGGTGAACAAATAGTAGTTAAATATATGTAATGGTCGATGTCGCCTAACTAAAAGTGGTTCTCTGTTCAAAGAAAACATATGGCTAAGGTAATAAGGTCCGTTAGATTCAAGATTTTGAGTTCAGTTCTACAAGGAAAAGACGAATTTTATGCTTGATAGTTCTCCTCTGGAGTAGGTATGCACAACCATTGTTGTTTTAACAGAGTGAACACACTACTTGAGATTCAATAAGAAATTTTTACCAAATAATCTTAGTTCGACCAAATTGATTTGAGGTAGAAAAACATATTGATAAAACAGAAAAAAAAAATTGATTTGAACCTCAGTCAATCAATGTGAGAACCAAACTTCCAATACTACCTGATAATAATCCCAAGTCCCCTCCTAAATATTCTCGAGAAGAAAGCACATTGGAAGTGGCTTAAGAAGACGTGAATTCCAAGTTATTCTATGCTATTGTAAAAGAAAATATGAGATTTAGTGCGACTTACGTAACCTGATGAATGAAGAAGGCAAAACTTTGTCCGTGTTGCTATATGATTCTATTGACACTTCCTTCTGCTGCTCGTATTCCTAACGATTTTAATTATAATTTCCAGTAACTCTACAATTCATGATGGAAATTTGAATTGGAAGCATTATAAAAATGCAAAAAGGAAGTGCAAATAGTAACCATGATTACAACCCAACTTAGCCTTTGTGGTATTAATGTGGGCTAGAGTAATAAATGGCTTCTTCAAAGATTCTTTTAATTACATCAGAAAGGAAAGGGGTAAAGGAGCGAAGATGCTAAAGTACAATAATAAAGTTTGAACCATCACATCAACTATAAAAAGGCAAGGATTTCACCAAGTGTGTTAGCCCGCAATGAATGGCTCTTATGCCCATGTATTACACTAGAAAGTGGGACTAATCCAATAGTTCCACCCCACCCCCACTACACCACCACCAAAACAGAAAGAAGAACAAGAAGATTAGAAAATGTTGTAATGATTTAGAAAACATACATTCGCATCTCTAAAAGCAAGATTGTCTATAAAACAACTACAAAAAAATGAAGGGGTTTACAGGATAGTCATAATCATTACACTGTTAATTTAAATTATTTTATCATCAAGACTGCATTACCAAAGAGTTTGGTTCACGGCCATGTACCCTCCTCAACCTATAAATGCATGTGTGCGGCATCCCATGGTTGGATGTAAAGTCAAACCGGATTGTGTCAACGACACTAGAGCCTGCAGATTATAAAACATTGAAAGTCTGAGCATTGCTCTTGTCAAGATCATATATGAACTCCGTCAAAAGGAACATCTTCTCGCTATCAGCTGCTAGATCAATCTCCTTTTTATCATGAAGCCATCCGGATATCCTGCAGTTCTTTGGAGCACTGGACCTATCGTAAGCAACACTCTGTTCAAAAATATCAGCATAACAGCAGATAACCAGAAATCTTCTTTGTGATTAGGTGGTGTCTGCGGAAGCTCCACCGGGTACCTGTTACCCAGGGGCGGAGCTAGCATAGCACTTGCGGGTTCGGCCGAACCCACTAACTTTGGTCCAAAATCTGTATTTGTGTTAAAAAATTCATTAAATATGTATACATTGTTAATTTAGAACCTAGTAACATAAACGAACTAGAATCCCGAACCCACAAGCTTCAAATTCTGGCTCCGCCTCTGCTGTTACCTCCCACCAGCACCCGATTACCTCCCACCAGCACAATTACCGAGTAACTCTGCCCACCCAGGCTTAGGTAGATGGGAAGAAATCACCTAGTGTTTGTCCTTACAGGATTTGAGCCCGGATCTCCAATGTTTTCACCCACTTTATTAACCGTTAGGCCACATCCTTAGGTGTCAGAGCACAAGAAATCATTCAACATATAGCAAGTTAATGATATAAATTGCTATATCATTCAACATATACCTTACCGAAGTGCCGAACGCCCGCCCCTACTCTCCCCAAATTCGAATTCAAAGCTTTAAAGTTTTCTAATGGTTGTCAATGATGGAATGGTGAGTGAGTGCAAGGTACGTGTGTGAAGGGGTGGAATGTGGAGAGAGAAACGTGGAGGAGTGGAATATACGTTAGAGTAATTTTAGGACATTAATTATTATCATTAATTCTTTTAAAATGTACATAAATAATAATTGAGTATATAAAATATAATTGTAGTAAAACTTAAGTAGGGAAAGTAATATAGTTTCATATAGGTAAAAATTCCATTCCCTAATCCCTTACCGTTAGGCTTAGTCGCTTAAAGGCAGGCAAGAAAAGGAAAAGCTACGCCTACGCCTACGGGCAGTATCAAAAAACCCCTTTCCCTATCTATTTTCTAACCTAGTTCAAAATTTTCAACTTTGCTTGGTTGCGGCGGCGGATTCACGAGTTACGACTCACGACTACAATAGCTTCACGACCTCGGTGACGGCGACTCCTCTCCTCTCCTCCGCGATTGCTTATTTGCTCATTGTTGACCTTCATTCAGGTTCATAACTTCTCCATTCTTCATTGTTGATCTTCATTCATGCGAGCTATAATCACATTTCTGAGTTAAGTTGCTTTTTAACTGAGCCGTTTGTTTCAATTTCTTTGTTCTTGTTGCTTACAACCTTGGTATGTATTGATACATGTCATTGATTAAACTGGAATTGGCAATCAAATTAGAATTTTCCTGATTAGGATGTTAAATTGTCTAGAAATGGTCATTGTGAAGGAGAAAAATCATTCATTGTCACTCTGTTTCTATCTTCTTGTTTGACATTTTCTTTCAAGTATGTCAATGATAATGCCAAGTTTATGTTTTATGACTTTTGCCCTTCTGAATTCAATTTCGGATCCCACCTTCAAATTCTTCTTTCCATTGTAATATTTGTTTTAGGCTCGTAATGCAGCCAGTGATGTTACCGGAAATAATTATTGATCAACTTTTTGGAATAAGTTTGTAGTCTTGACATTTACATGGAACGATCCGAAACCGTACTGAATCGTACCGAAACAAACAAGAAAATATCGAACCGTACCGAACTACTTTGGTACAGTATTTGGTATGCACAATTGATATATTGAATACCGAAGTACCGAACCGTAATTCATAAATACCGTACTGAAGTACCGAACGCCCACCCCTACTCTCCCCTATACAAAATATAGCATTAAGTAAAAATGGTAAAAGGGTTGAGCCTATTATCCATCGTGTTTTGAACCTTACGACACTTGTCTCGGAGATTTCTTAGTTAAAAAAGATGAGACACAAAAGAACTTGCTTTCTGATATGTGGTTCAATTAAATGTGACAAAAATGAATAGCTATTTTAGAGAATTTGAGTTGAAATTAGAAGGCAAAATAGTAAAAAATATGAAAAAGAAAGAAAGAAAAATAGAATTGATGAGAAGATAAATATATCATTTAATTTAGTGAGAGAAAAGTTTTATTCTATTAACTCATTAAATCCTACCTCGATCAAATTTAAGTAAAATATTAAATTTATAATATTTTATTACAAATTGTATAAATATAAATTACATATATTATATACTGATATAGTAGTACTATACATTTTTTGGGCCTTAAATATTTGGGGGGCCTAAGGCAAGACTTGTCTTACCCTATTGCCGCCCTTGCCTCTGTGCTGTTTTTTGGTTCAGAATGGACAACGGCAACGATGCCGCACCAGCTCAGCTGACGGCTGAGGCGGCTGCACAGTTACAGGAAGGCATCGGGTTGGTGCTAGGTAGATGGACTGCCCTTCAGATGGCTATCGAGAACGACTGGGGTGGCCGCGGCTCTCGTGAAAAGTCCAGTCAGCTCAATCTCGACATATTTTCCGCCTTCACAAATTCCAAAGGTAATTCTGCATATGATTAATACTCCCTCTGTTTCAATTTATGTGTTTTAGTTTTATCTTGTGTTTTTAAACATGACATGTTATTCAGATTTTCATCAAGTGTAAAATGGAAATGTTGAAATTTAAAACTTACGTACTAAATATTAAAAGAGGCAACTTTTTTGAATCAAACTAAAAAGAGAAGCAACACCTCAATTGAAATGGAGGGAGTTACATATTTAAGCCATTCCCAGCTGCTAATATCCTTTGTTTTCTACTTATTTTATTTTATTTTATTGTATTTGATTAAAATTTTGTTTTTCTATTGTTTTTGTGGGTTCCTCATTGTTTTTCATTATGCAGAAAAAGTATATATGGATGATATAGAGGAGATTCTAGATGAGTTCATGTTGTCTCTAAATACTGAAGTCAATGATGGCAGTCTTGAGGAGGTACGGTGCCACTCCTTGCCCTGTAATCCCTAATTCTCTATCATCTTTGTTTGCTGTGTTAGGGCTACATAAAATATTCGTGGGAATGATTTCATAGACAATGAAATTAAGTGGAGCAGTTTTTATGCCTGTGTTTGGAAAACTTCAAACAAACTCCTCATAAACGCTTTCTTTCGAAAAGTAAGCACTTCTAATTTTCCAGAAACTTAATCAGGCTTTGAAGTACATCTCATCCGATTTGAAATAATTCAACAAGTATATGCTGTGTGCTAACTTCTGGCGTGATTCAAGTGTGTAAATTCTCCAGATTGTCCTGGTATTTATATTGTAGCACTAAGTCATTAAAAAAAAGTTGGGGTCTCAGTAAAGGTTTTTGTCGTTATCAATCAAATATGTTTACTCTGCTGCTATTCTCCCCTTTTGGTTATGCTGAAGGTTATGATGTTGCATTTGACCACACTTTCAAACTTAATTCTTTTGGTGAATCTGAAAGAGAAGGCTAATCAGCATTTTGTGTTCGGCCAAAACAGGAAGCTAGGAATATGGATTACTTTTGTGAAAAAAAAAAAGAATATTACATTAATAGTATATACTGATATAAGTTCAATTTGGAATTGATCGCATGACCAGCGTCCTCTTTAAAACCAATCTTTATTGCTGCCCTGGTGCTTTGTTTCATACAACCAAACTGTCCATTTCAATTGGGAGTATCAAGGTGACTTAAGAACTATATCTTAAATTCAGTGCCTTTACCTCATTTAATTGATAAAAAATACGAGATAAACGTCCACAAAATATCATCATGTGTTATTAACTTTTTCTACCTGTAATAATAAAGCTTAGAAGGCTTAGTAATAACTTGCTACGGATATCTCATTGGAAGATATAAATGAATTATGGGAATCAATTGATAGTTAGTCCACAACTTGAAGAAGGATGTTTGTGGTTTGCCCTCCCCTTTGTGGTACTCCGCCTCCCTACAGGCAGCCATTTCCCAGTTCTCCTTAGTTCTGTCCCATTCTCTCTTCTTCATTTTTCTGGGATGAGAATTTCTGTCCCATTCTCTTTGCTGCCATCCGCTAACCTTTGTTCAAGGAAGCATCATGCGAACAAAAAAGATCAGGAAACCGTCAGTGGTGTTTTCTTTGCTATTTTCTTTTTGTTGTTGTTATCTTGAATTTTGACCAAACTGTTGTACTGTTCCTGTTAGGGAGAAGTACAATTTTAGAATATAAGAACTAAAATGGTAATTTACCCTTTCTAAATTATGTTGTTTACAGTGGTTAGAAAATTTATTGTTCGTGTAATCATGCATTTCTGTAAGGCTTTGGAGTCAGATATGATGTATGCTTCCCTAACAAATAATATTGATGTTTTCTTTCAGGTAGCAGAAAAAATGATGTTTATGCATGAAGAGTGTCTGGAAGGCAATTTCAATTCAATCAAACTGCTAAGAGAAACAAATGTTGGAAGGAGACCTGCCACTTATGTCAGACAAGTAAGCATCCCCTTTGTTATAGGCAGTATATGTTTTTTCCTCTGTGATCGTTAGAAATTTTTTCTGTTGATAGTCACCTACTACTTCAATGTATCCTATCATATGCATTACAAAAAGTGATGAAGAAGAACTAGTATGTTGGATGAGTTACTTGTGTGGAAGTAATATAGGCCTTAATTCATATTTATTACAAATGATGCTTGGGTAAATCAGGTATTCGATAATGGTAACTGTATGAGATGAAGGTAATTATGCATGGTGTACTTTTGCTAATTGTTCCAAGGAAATAGGAACTTGAGAAGAATGAGAAGACCTAATATATTCAACCGTTTATAAGATAACAAGCATAAAGCTGGATTATCCCTTCGGGGATGCCGAATTGGTTTGGAGGGTGGTCATCCATACAGATGACCTGGGATCGATCCCCCCTCAATGCCTTATGGGTCGAGTCTGTCGCACAGGGCTTGCCTAGTGCGGTTTACATTCCTTGTGTAGTTTGCAGGCTATTACACAGTGGGGGATTTATCCAGTGCGCACAGAGTGCTCACCCGAAGGGCAGAGGCTGTAGCGGAATGGTTGGTAGGAGGTGCATGTTACTGAAACGTGCTAGTATATCAATTAATCAACCACTCTTCAATCCTAAATTAGTTAGGGTTCACTATATGAGTTCTTTTTGATAAGTAAGGTAATCATTTTGTTCACTAAATGTATAAGCAACAGTAGGAAGATTTTGAATGTGTACTGTACAAAAGAGGCAAAAACTCCATTCCTTATCTCATTCAGGATAAGGAGCTGAGAAATTGTAGCTGTGTCTACATCATATATATTGGCCTTTTGCACCACAAAATAAGCAAGTATGAACATCTGCATTTAAGTTAAGGACAGTCTCCCTTTTCCCTTCGAAGTGTCTTTGGTTTTTTCACTCGGTTTGTGAATATTATATTCTTGATCAAAAAAATCTTTGGTTTCTTTCACCAGCCAGCAAATACATATCCATTTTCCTTTGAAGTATCGTTGGTTAAGCCACCGCTGTGGGCAATTAAAAGGATTGGAAAGGATGCATGCTCTAGTCTGTTCATAGTTTGTGTTTGAACTACTTGTTGCATGGAAACTTTCACCAGCCAGCAAATACATATCCATTTTCCTTTGAAGTATCGTTGGTTAAGCCACCGCTGTGGGCAATTAAAAGGATTGGAAAGGATGCATGCTCTAGTCTGTTCATAGTTTGTGTTTGAACTACTTGTTGCATGGAAACTTTGTTGTAATATTTCTACTTGTTATTTTATTAGTCGAGAGTTTTTCCCTGATGGCCTTGTTCATGAATTCTACTTAAGTGATTCTTGAGGAATTCTATAAAATATCTTGAACTTGTATTATTTTTAGCAGCCCCAAACCGTTAAATTCCCCAGGTTGATGCTGTTGATATATTGACTAATATAAACCCCAAGGGAAAAGTGCCCTAAATTGAAACTGTTGCTCTTGAATTTTGCCCCCCGTGATGCTCTTTTTTGTAATTGGAGAATGTTGTCCAGTGATAATTTGTTTTATTGCTTACTTTTGCAAAACTTTCCAGGATGCTACTGATGACGACGACAGTAGTGATGACGGCAATGAAAACTTGGGTAACAATTCATCAGATATGGCAATTGATTCTGTGGGAACACAGTCAAATTTGGGCCAGGGTATGGTAGTTGATGAGCCTGTGACGAAGCAGCCAGCTGAAGTGGACGAGGACGGGTGGACGAAAGTAGCTACTAGGCGTAACAAAGGTAGACGGAATTAAAGCACTACTACAGCCCATGGAGTATACAAAATTTCGTTCCCTATACCTTAAAATGAAGAAAGCTTGGTATGTTGGTGAACTATTATTTTAATAGTTGTAATTATCGGCGATTGTAATTTGGTTTTGCTTCCTCGTGCCTTGATGAATTCTCCGCCCAATTATCGTCAAAGGCTCTGAGACGGTATTTTTGCTAGTTGTAACAATGAAATTTGTAGTTGAGTTACTGGAGCCTCGTTGATATTCCTTAATGCGCCTTACCTTTTTTTTGGGGGTGAAGTAAGGCATCAATACTTGATCTAAATTAAGTAAAACAACATTATTGTAGTCCCTCACTATGTTCCATATAAATAACTATCAACTTAATTGTCAAACCAATGATATAATAGTGCTCTGTGTTTTGTCCTCCCCTAGTCCAGGCGGACACACACAATGATGTACGTAACACGTACAATAGCCCTTTGATTAGGCAATAAACTTTGTCATAAATGATTGTAGAATTTCTACTTTTTTCAATTAATTAAGTGATTTGTCTAGTAAATGATTAAATAATCAATCCTCGTCTTACAATTTGTTGTTAGCAGTTGAAAAAACTATACGACATGTGGCTATAAATAACACCAGAGGTGAAACCACAACGAAGGAAAAAGCATGAATTTAGCAATGATAATAATAAGAAGATGGAACTAAGTTAACTCTCTCATATAGACGAATGTTTTACGAAAAGGTTTAAACAGCAAAACTAAAAGCATCGTACAGAATTAAAAGTTTCCCTTAGTTTTTTCTCTAAATGTAAGACTTAGCAGAAGAACATAGAACTGCGCACATTCCTGTGAAGCCGAGGCAATGTGGGAACTGGAGCACCACCAACTGCTGTAACTCCACCATGGCTCGACGACGTCTCTGACAGTTCATCAAACTTGATAAACTGTGACATCTGTGCTGCTGCCAAGTGGGCATAACATATAGGTGCAACTGCGCGAAACGCATTAAGGAAAAACAAAATTCTTCTATCAGATCAGCATTAGGAGTAGTATGTGATGATATTCCATATTTTAACACCTTTCAAGCCAGTAAAGAATCATAATTCCTGAAAAAGCAATACTAGTAAAACACAAATGATTTTTCTTACCAACAGAGATGGCTGTAGTACTTCTCTGATACCTGCAGCACAGTAGAAAAGATAAATAAAATCTCTCAAGGAAGGATTTGAACGACAAGTAACATCCACTTATAGAAGGAGATTGTTTACTTACACATATGATAGTGAATGGACCAGCTCTTGCATGTCATCTGCTGAAAATCCAATTTCATCACAAAGATGACAGAAGCTCATCATAGAATAGAAGCAATTAATATGAATCATAGAGCAGACTCGAACAAGGGATTTTACAAAACTCACACTAGGCCCAGCATGAGCACACATGTACAGGTCGTCGTTCTTAGGATGGCAAATTGCATTGTCGATCACCATAGAAAGATATTTCAAAGGAAGTTTATACAGAACGAGTCAATCAAATTATACTCCAGTAATAACACAACCTAGGTAGCTAAAAGTACAAACCAGGAAGAACATTATCAGCTGAGTTAGTCTGGAAAAACTTTGTGTGGTGGTTCTTTTGTGCAACAACGACTGTCAACTTTGGAAACCAATTCTCATCCAGATGGTTGCAGGCCTAGAGAATATGGTCATATTTAGTGATTAGGAAAAGAATAGGTGTCATGGAAAAAACTAAGTTGCAGTTACTGCACATTCAAACCTCGATAATCTGATCGAGCTCAATGTTTATGACTTGGTTGAACTGGGACTCACTCACTCCGTCACTGTACATCCATGACAGCTTAATCATTAGCAACTATATAAAATTTTAATGTGCACGAATGAGAAGAAGAAACCAAAAAATATACATCATGTGCTAGTGTATAGTGAAGGTACATAAGAATTAAAGCCCTCAGAAATAATGCCCTCCATTGTTTATAGTTTTGCTTCAAGTTTACTTGAGAAGGGGAGAAAAGGTTGTGACGAAATGGAGAACTTGCACAAAATGTAGATTCCCAAGTGGCGACTCTGATTAAATAAATAATCCCATTTCGAATAATGTCATCTTTAGTTGGAAAAACTCCATATTCCCTCGGAAAAAGGAGGTGTGACAATCCTTATCACGTCGCCCCTTTATCGGAGAATGCGCTGCAGCATGATCGTCAATAAGGCTGGCAGGCCTACAAAATAATAAGATATTTTAGTATATGAAATATAGAATACTAACGTACGTGTTAGCAAAAAAATTTAATGGTCATATCATGATCTCAGCGGGTTGCTGAATAAGATCATCCGTCTCTAGCAAGCGAGTATTGCACAATGTGGCCTCCGTGATGGGAGATGACAAAATATTTTTAAAAAAATATAAACACTTTAGATATTACTGACTAATCTATAAGGTAAAAATAAATTGAAATAATAGTAATACAAACAAACATGCGCATGAAGAGCCACACAATGCTCTGTCGGAACATCGAGGTGCACTGGAGTAGATGAAGGTTGTGACGTCTCGCCCCGATGTGATGTATCCCTATCTGTTCCTGAAAGATCCTCAGCAGCCCTCGGTGATGAGCCATAACTCAGTCGTCGCCCACTGTGCACCTCTCGTATCGGACGATCAGCAACAACCCTCGATGGCTCTGGACGATTAGGAAAATACTGATGCCAATCATGTTGCGTAATGGTCGTACCCGTGATCAACACTGGACTTGACGGGGTCAACTGTGAAGCCCCTGGTGATAGCTGAAGGCTGAATGACGGTATATCATGAGGAGCATCCTGTGGCTCAGGGTAGTCACCCTGCTGATCATCTCTAATATCCTCCACGGGTGCCTCAACGCCCCCTTACCGGGGACCCTATCCTCGCCGACCACCATGGGTGCCTCAATTGCAATGATCTATCCCCCTTTCTCTATGGCCACGCCTGCCATGTCTACCACGTTCAGAGGCCACTTGTGGCCCATGATGGTACTCCTCGGGCGGCACATAAGCAGCCTCGTATCCTAAGAGCCCATCCTTTCGGGCACGTCTCAATGTGGCAGCAGCAAGATCAGTAACCCGACAGCCAAGCCCGTGCACAACTACCACTCCCTCGCCTGTATGCTGTAGCATCTCCATTCCCAACTGGTAGAACTGGTGTAAGCAATAGCCTGAATAGCATATAAAATATTAATTAAGGAAGGATGTTAAAGTAATGTAACATTATAAGTATAACAAATAACATACCAGTGCCTCATGCCTCCCGGCGTATAGAACGTACCGACCACCAGCGCAATGAACGGGATTCTCGATGAAAAGTCGGGTAACACTGCGATACCAACCCATGTACTCATGCTCCCCGTCCAAACGGTCAGGTGTAGGTGTTGCTCCCAAACGCACACGCAAGTATACGTGGTCGACAAGTAATATAGGATAGTAAGTCCAGATATCGTACCCACAGGGACTTGTGATTAACTATCAGCCAAATTAGATCAAACAATTAATCTATTCAAGCGAATCCTAAAGTATGAATATTTAACTAAAGATAATCTAGAGTGGTAAACTAAGAGATTAAAGAAACAAGTTGGCGAATTGTAGAGACGAATTCAATATGAGTGAATATTCTAGAGTTATGGGTTAGCTAACAATCCCGTTGAGTTTTCCACCTAAATCGTCTAATTAATTTATCTGGTTTATTGATTGACAGGGTTAATATTGCTCGTAGCCTTCTCCCGAAGTACAACTCGCCTATTCAAGCTAACCTAACGCCTATATTCCTATGGAATTAGGATTAACAAGAACGCATATATAATTCCCGTATAATAACCAAGCAAGGCGATTAGGTATATTCCTATCCTAACCGCAAATCCGCTCCCCCTAAGAGTTAAGATCTTGCTCTACTCAATCTTATATGTAATCTAGAATTCCCTCTCCCGAGTTCAATCCTAGATTCGTAGATAGTATTCAATGGGTGATCAAGCAATCAAATAATTAAGCGCAAGATTGAATAAATAAACCAATATGATAAAATAATAAGAACAATTCAAGCTTCAAACTACAACGTTCATGTAGCACCCAAAACTCTAGAACTAATAAACTATAAAATTAAAGGAAGAGAAGAGAAGAAAAACTAGTTAGAAGCCTCCTCCAAGCGTGGTGTGTGTTATCACCAAAAGTGGCATCCTCTCCCGTCCAAAAATTACTCTAAAAACGTTCTCTCATGTATATATACCAAGTAGGGTTGGGCCCAAACAATTATACCTTCTCCAATGTGAAAAAGGACACTTTTCCCGGGTGACTCGCGCGAGCTCGCGCGTCCTTCGCGCGTTCTTCTCGCACTATTCTGCCTCAGCCTTTAACGCGCGCGACTTTCGCGCGTTCTTCCCGCGTTTTTCACCCTGTTCCGTTCCGAATTTGAAAAAACGTAAAACAAGAAAGTCGTAGCCCCTTTGAGTTAGCTTTCCAACCATATATTGTGGAGCCAAAATGGAGTTCTGAGCAAAAAGTTATATCTATTTTACTAGACAGTGCACAATCTGCCTACTGAAGTCTTCGTTTGCTCTAACTATCATCCGTTGACCCCCAAACGCGATCCCGGCTCGTATCCTTGGGCTTTTACTCAGACTTCAAAGCTCCAAATTACTTGAATTCATTCCATAACATCTACATAGCTCGGAATCACTCCTACAAGGCATAAAATACACAATTAGTGCAAAACACTAGCGATTAAAGCGCGAACTCAACCAACGAGTGCCCTCACTCAACCATAGAGGTCAATGACATTACCTTTCTTTCATGAATCAAGTGCCCTCACTCAACCAACGAGAGTGGTCCCACACAATAAAATTTAAGAACACTTAGGAACTCAAGATAGAAAGAATTCACTCACTCTCAGAAATAACATTCATATGCCACAAAAGATGCACCATAGGCTTGCCCGTAGTGTACTACTCTACTAATCGAGCTCATTCAGTCTAGGATCAAGTAGGACTTTATTTGATTGTAATGTAGGCTGAGGGACGGGTAGGATACATTTAGATATAAGAGTGACTACACCTCCCTAAGCGCTTTAATACATATACTTTAACATTCAAAACTCCATACTTATGTCAAACCATAACTCCACATTCACATCAATATATATTAACTCCCCACTTCTTTAAGCACAATTACATCAAGAGTCACCACTATCAAATATTTTCACAGCAATACAACTATCTTTTTTTTTTCAATTCAAGTGGCTCTTACTTTTTTTCAAAACAGTGCACCTTTCTCCTTATTTCATTAGTTCCACTCAAAAGCCAAACCA